ATAGGCCCTACCGTGTTTGAAATGACTGAAGGAATAAACCACAGGTCTAGAGTATTCTTAGTTCCTGGAATTTTGGTTCTATGTGATACTAAAAATATAAGAGTATTGTGCTGGGTATTTTGGCACCTAATCTTTCTAAATTTCTTATATATCTTATATGTCACAGTTGTTCCTGTGACCGTTGGAGTCTTTGAACTGCAGCCACATTTTAGGATGATACTTCTCCAGATATAAGAGTTGCTTGCTGTTAAAAGCTCCGCGCCGCTTTTGTCTTATGAACTGTACTGCATCTTCATATTTCATTCCACCCTCAATTAATGCTAGGGCAACAAGCACTGGAGTTCTCCCAAGGCCTGCAACACAATGGACAGCAATACAACAACCAGGTTCTTCATGAAACTTAATTTTTACAAGATTTAACCAGTCATCAACAATCTGGTTGCACGGTGGTGCACCATCATCAAATGGCCAATCAAAAACATGGATGCCTTCCTTCTCTACAAGTGTAATGTCATACGTTGCTTTACATACTCTTACTATTGTGGTAACTCCATACTTCTTAAGTTCCTCTATAAACTTGTTTAAGGTTGCATTGGTTAGATTATGTGTAATGAGGAATCTCATGCTCCTGTATGTGACTTCCACAGGAGCTGGGCGGTTCATTCGAGCCATTATTAATTTAGTTAAAAAAAACTTAAGAGGATTATGAAAGATTTTAAAACTTGAATAGAAATGATCCAAGAAACTGAAGTCTACTTCAGTATACTTGACGTGAACTTCTCAGTGCTTTGAGTATGGTATTGGGAGTACTAGGAAATGAAATCAACCTCCTAACAAGAAGCAGCAATCCTTTAATCCAGTAATACTGAGGCAAGAGAAAGGAAGTGCACTTAGGTTTACCCCATCCAGGTCAGAACTCTTGTAAAATGCTCTACGATTTCAATTCACCACTTCCGTGTCCAGGTGAGCCTCTCTCACGGGGCTTCTTGGTGGAGCAGTAATGGATCTCAACAGTTCACTTGTCTGCATAGAGGTCGTGCTGTGCCTGGCAGTAATCTCCACTGCCCTTCAGAAACTTCATAAATGTGTGACCAAGAACACCACAGAACTGAGGAATATGTCTACTCATTGAAGATTGTGGCCTAATCATACAGCTGATCCTGAGGCGGTGGCAAGGTGGGCGGTGGCGGCGATGGTGCAGCAGGGGGTGCACCAAGCAACTATGCACCGAGCGGTTGAGAGTGCCTCACCTCATAAACATTTTAACCGATAAATTATATCAAACAATTAAAGCAGAAAAAAGAAGGAACACTTCTCCCCTCATTTTAGGAACTCAACACTGTGCTAAT